GAAGGGGTGGGGGGGGGGGGCGTAATGGTTCCTTGCTTGGGCTGTGCTTAAAAGCAGAAGTTGATACAAGTGTACGGTTTGTTATGTTGTGAAAGTGTTTCCCTGCAAGTGGTATGGATAATGCACTGCTAGGATCAGGCTTCCTGCCCAACATCTTTCCTTAAGGGGCACTGTGCAGTCCAGGGAAGTCCCGTGGAAGGCAGCTGGATGTTGGTGTACCACAACCAGTGGTTTGCTTGAGTATAGCTGTAGAAAAATGTAATTGTATATACTTATTTGAGAAGTAGAAGGTAAAAACATTCAGAATTCTTTTCTTTTGCAGAGTTATTGAGTGCAGCCTGTGCTTTGTCAGGACCTTGTTCAGAGTCTCCATGTTGTCCCATCTGCCTGATCTGAGAAAAAGTTGGGGACGCTCTGTTTGGGCTGTGTGTTTCTAATAAGCTTTTGTTTGTGACTGAAAAAGGCAGGTGTGTATCCTTCAAGAAATAGAGGTACAGACTAAATGGATCTAAAGACAGCAGTGTTCAGTGCAGCTCGTGATGGCAAGCTGCGTCTCCTTTCCAAGTTACTGGCAAGCAAAACCAGAGAAGAGGTGGCCTTACTAATGTCAGAAAAAACCAATGGTGCCACACCACTTTTGATGGCAGCCCGTTATGGGCACGTTGACATGGTGGGATACTTGTTGGACTATTGCTCTGCTTCTATAGAAATTGGTGGTTCAGTTAATTTTGATGGTGAGACTATTGAGGGAGCTCCACCATTATGGGCAGCATCAGCTGCTGGTCACTTGAAGGTGGTTCAGTGTCTGTTAGATCATGGTGCATCTGTCAACAACACAACTCTAACAAATTCAACTCCACTTAGAGCTGCCTGTTTTGATGGTCACCTGGAAATAGTAAAATATCTTGTGGAGCACAAAGCAGACTTGGAAGTATCAAACCGTCATGGGCATACGTGCTTGATGATCTCCTGTTACAAAGGCCACAAAGAAATTGCTCAGTATTTACTTGAAAAAGGAGCTGATGTTAACAGAAAAAGTGTTAAAGGTAAGTTCATTGTTTCATTTTTCCTTCTAGTAAAGTTACTCGTGTTTAGTAAGTTACTCGTGTTCTTTAGGATATTGTCATCCAAAAATATTCCTCTAGTCTCATAATGTGAATGTTTTTTCCAGTAAGAGATGAAGTGTATTTAGCGATGTTTTTACAAGTTTTTTCAGCATACTCATTTAATACTGGCTATAAAATGTAATTCTAAATTGATACGTTTTAATCTAAAGACTGCATTTATGCATGTGCCAAAAGCTAATTGACTTTTGCTGAGAACTCCTATTTGTAGCAGGTTTGTGTAGTAATAAATATATGAGCGTATATTGTGTAAAATCTAGGATGTTTTTCATACTGTTTTTTAACAAACCAAATATGCTGTACCTAAAA